AAAAGGGATGGCACAGAGCTCAGAATTAAGAATCCTAATTAACTTGCAGAGCTCTCACTGCAGGAAACCCTTTGCAGAGGACTGACACACATCATCCACACGCCGATGGGAAGAACTGCTGATGCACTGGAACAGGTTGCCCAAGGAGGCTGTGGATGCCCCATCCCTGCAGGCATTCAAGGCCAGGCTGGATGTGGCTCTGGGCAGCCTGGGCTGCTGGTTGGTGACCCTGCACACAGCGGGGGGTTGGGACTGGATGAGCACTGTGCTCCTTTGCAACCCAGGCCGTTCTGTGATTCTATGAACTGAGCTGCTTCCGCAGAGCTCCACGGCACACCGCCCTGCAGGGACCGCCCTGAGCTGCTCCCCACGACCTCCTCCATGGGCACGGGGTCTCTCCGTGATAACACAGACTGGTAGGACCTAAAGTCTAAAGAGCACAAGTGGTTCAAATCTGGTCTTAACGGCACTGGAAAAAAAAAAACGGCAGCCTGGTCAGTGTGGGAAGATTCAGGTTTATGCTGAGAACTGTTAGAGAAGTCGTTCTGCTTGTAGAGGTGTGGAAAAAGACACGAGGGACCAACTCTATGTCACACGAAGCACAAACATGAGAGAACTCGGTCCCTGGGCCAAACACACGGCTGTCAACGGGGAGATGGAGCCGGAGAGGAGGAATCGAGGAAAACAAGACGATAATTAAAAAAATAAAATACAGAAATAAGGTGATAGGGAATACAAGAGCAAGCATCGGCCTCGCCACCGGAACGCGAGCCGGGTCACGACGCACCGGAGCCGGGGGGGGGCGGAGGGGAAAATGGCCCCGAGCGCCGCAGCAGCGCAGTGCGGGCGGTGCCGGCAGAGGGCGCCATTCCGGCGCCACGGGGCTCCGCGCAGCGCAGGGGAGCGGGGGGCGGCACTGCGGGGAGCGCGGCGTTGTTGCGGGATGGGGTTTGGGGGAAATGGGGTTATGGGGGAACGGGGGTCCCGGCGCTCCGCAGCCCCGCCCCGCGGCACTCACCAGGCGCACGCTCCTGGCCAGCACCAGCAGCCCGGCCACCGCCACGCCGGCACTGAGACTCTGCGGGGAGGAGATGAGACAGAAACGACGTTCAGTCACTCCGGGCCGCACCATCACCGCCACCGCTCCCAGCCCCGCCGCCCCGTTACCCGCACGAGGCTGAGGTGCGCGTCCGCCCACTCGGAGAAGCGGCTCAGGCCCTCGCCCGCTGCGCTGCGCCGCTCCGCCATGGCCGCAGCCCCGCCCCGCAGCGCCGCCCCCCGGCAGAGGGCGCTCCGCCCCGAGCGCCGTGCCGTTACACCGCCGACGGGAGCGGTGCGAGATCACCTCCCGCGTGTAGAAACCGCGCAGAGATCCGCTTCTCAGCGTAACGTACGTGAGAGCAGCCCTGCGGAGAAGGACCTGGGGGTCTTGATGGATGAAAAACTTAACATGAGCCAGCAGTGTGCCCTTGCGGCCCGGAAGACAAATGGCATCCTGGGCTCCATCAGGAGAGGGGTGGCCAGCAGGGACAGGGAGGTGATTGTTCCCCTCTACTCTGCTCTTGTGAGGCCCCATCTGCAGCACTGTGTCCAAGTGTGGAGCCCCCAGTACAAAAAAGACAGGGAGCTGTTGGAGAGGGTCCAGAGGAGAGCCACAAAGATGATCAGGGGACTGGAGCACCTCCTCTGTGAAGACAGGCTGAGGGAGCTGGGCTTGTTCAGCCTGGAGAAAAGAAGGCTGCGGGGTGACCTCATTGCAGCCTTCAGGACCTAAAGGGAGCCTACAAACAGGAGGGGAATCAACTCTTGGAAAGAGTTGATAACAGCAGGACGAGGGAAAATGGTTTGAAGTTGAGGGAGGGGAGATTTAGGTTGGATGTCAGGGGGAAGTTCTTTACAGAGAGAGTGGTGAGGTGCTGGAACAGCTGCCCAGAGAGGCTGTGGATGCCCTGTCCCTGCAGGTGTTCAAGGCCAGGTTGGATGGGGCCCTGGGCAGCCTGGTCTAGCATTAAATGAGGAGGTTGGTGGCCCTGCATGTGGCAGGGGGGTTGGAGATTCATGATCCATGAGATCCCTTCCAACCCTGGACATTCCATGATTCTGTGATACATGGACAGAGCTTAAGCCTTTGCATCGCACAGCCGCTTCACCGCCGCCGCTCCGCCTCCATCAGATGCAGGCAGCGCCCGAAGGCTGAGCAAACAGCACAAACCACTGCCCAGTTTGGA